TCTTCTTCTTCTTCTTCTTCTTCTTCTTCTTCTTCTTCTTCTTCTTCTTCTTTTTTTAAAGTGTTCTAGCTTGAAGCCAGGTATAGTGGTCCACACTTTTAATCCCAGCAGAGGCATACTGATCTCTGTGAGTTCAAGGTAGCCTATCTATAGAGCAGGTATACAATTTTGAGACTTTATCTAAAACAAACACTGCTTCAGGCTGCATGTTCTCTGATGGGTAGCAACAGCTAATCTCATCCTTGGGAAAGAAAGGAGTTGTTAGGAGGGGATCCCATACCCTTCTCATGAACCAATGAATGAATGGAAGTTCTATTTTGACTTTGCCAATACCAAATAAATGGATTTGTACATGATCACTGGCTATTCTTTTATGCTATTTAATTCTCTCTCAATAAGGGGTCCTCTTTAAATTTGTAACTACCACACATACTTGGGAGGTGAGCAATAGATGTTCAAGGTCATGCTCTGTCTGCTACATAAGGGCCACATGAGATGCTGTCTTAAAAAATAAAGTTAGAGCTCCCAAAACTCAGTGTATATTGGCCTGAGTTCTCATTTGGCCCAACCATTGCCATTTGTAGACATTGAGCTTGTACCCCACCCCCAAGGAGGGGAGTGAGATTCAGGACTTTACCATGGGCAAGTGCTGAGAGTCCCTAAGAAAGACAGAGACAGCCCCAGAATGTAGGACAGTAACTGAGAACACCCGGCTAATAGCAGCACCTACACTGGTTTCATCCATCCTTCAGTGTCTCTGCACCAACCAAGCACAAACATCTCACCACTTGTCGGGGTAACATCCGGGGCATTGACGTTTTATAAGGTCTCACCACCTTACTTTTGGGGGCAATGGCAATGGAACTCGGGTCCTCAAATTGCCTCTAGGAAAAAAGTGGCAAGCACTCTGTGTTGAGTGGTAGCCTAGCCTTTGTTGATTTTCTCTTAAGGAAAATGGGTAGGGAAAGGGAGGAACCCGGTGTGAAAATAATGTCAGTAATGCCACTCGTTTGACTAAGACTGGGTTTAGTCACCACTGGTCTGTCTTCTTGAATGCAGGTTAGTAGTTGAGTCTTATGACTCAAGCTCAGCTGCCTTCAGACCGGCTTTGGGGACCTCTCCATGCCGGAGCCTGTCTACCACCAGCCAGCAGGGCCACTACCCCAGGAAATGGGCCCCTCCTTCCCTACCTTCTGTCCCCACCCTGACAGTCAGCTGGATCATGTACAAGACCTCACCTCCCCCGGGTTTGGGCAGGAAACGGAATGTGGGTGGGTTGGTGCCATATACACACAGGCAGTTGGGATAGAGCAAGGGTAGTTCATATAATTTGGAACGGTCTCCTGGTCTTCCTGACCAAGATCTCTGCTCTCCTTCCCAGGTAAGGTTTCCAAAACTAAAACACTATGATTATCTCCCAGCAGAGAGATAAAAGATGCTAATTGAATGCTTGGGGCTGTACGTTCTTTGATGGGTGACAGCAACTAATTCTGTCCTTGGGGAAGAAAGGAGTTGTTAGGAGAGAATCCCATACCCTTCTTCTGCTGTGACTGCTCCAGGATTATATAAAAATAAGGAAGAGCAAGGTGCCCAAGAGAAGAGTGTAAACCCATCTCATCGTTGTATGGATATCTTGCTTGATGCTTTTGCGGTACTTGCTTCTTTCTGCAGAAGCCATGATTCAGAGAGAAGTGAATCACGCGTTCGTTCGTTCGTTCACTCATTCAGCAAATATTCACGGACTATGCCCCAGGCCTGGAAGTGGGTACCAAGGTTTTTCTCCCAGGACATTGTGGTTGTAAAAGACCCTTGGGTACACAAGACCAAGACGGAAGGGGACTTGCACAAAACTGCGCAACAATTTGGGAGTGGGGCTAGATTGTGGATTTCTTCTAGGGACTTCTGAAGAAAAGCCAGTGGGGTATGTTTGTTCTGCTTTATTTTTGTGATAGGGTCTCACTATGTAGCTTTGGTTAGTCTAGAACTCTTTGTATTCTCTGCTGGTCTCAAATTTACAGAGATCTAGCTAGCTGGTCAGTGAAGGGACACACCTTTAACCCCAGCACTCCCAAGGCAGAGGCAGGCAGATCTCTGAATTCAAGGACAGCCTGATTTACAGCGAGTTCCAGTACAGCCAGGTCTCAAAAACAACCCAAACCAAACAAAAAACAAATAAACAAAAACCCTGCCTCTGCCTCCTGAGTGCTGGGACTAAAGGCATGGGTCACCTGGCCTTTTGAAAAGCTACTTCAAGCTTTTTCCTTTGCTTTGCTGTGATTCAAGTAAGCTTTTGTTGGTACTCCACTGGCATCCCAGGGTCTGGGCTGAGAGAGGGGTTTTAACTGAGAATTAACAAACCATCAACAGTGTATACATAGTAACAAATTGGAGTACTCCTGTGGCTTTCCAACACGGAATATTTAAGTACTCAGTCAGTCCCACTTGTTCTTTAACAATGTAACTTTGGTGGGTACAAATTCACTACCCAGACTCTTTTCGGGTCCAGGCTTCTCAAAGTGTATTAGTTGCAGCTACCCTTTTCGACTACTGTTAACAGAATAAGGGACAGCGGGTGGCTTGAAACCCCACAACCTTTTACCTCGTCCCTAACACGCCTTTAAGTACGACTCTTGCTTAGATAGAAGGCGTATCTTAGCATGCAACTGGTGCCAAATATCTAGTTGGAAGCCACCAACATAACACGGAGTGGCTCGCTAGCTTCTGCGGGCTTGGCTCTCAGCAAGTTTTCACGCATAAGCATACAAGGTTAGTCTGCGCTACGAAGTCTAGTCTCCGTGGCCCGCACACAACTCCGCTTGCCCCGCTTAGGGAATACCACGCGCTGAAGGCAAAACCGAGGAAGACTTTTGCTAGTCTTCCAGGCCTGGGCTCAGCCGTTAGAGCCAAGGAGGGGAGAGGGTGTGTGCGTAGGCGGAGAGCGGAGAAGGGGTGAGAGACGACCAGGTACAAGTGCGCATGCACCGGCCGACTCCCGCCCGCTGCCCATAGGGCCCTGCGGCGTGCTGGCAGCCAGGCCTGGTGGTGTGGTGCGCGTGCGCGGGCCTGCCGCAGGGCGTATACGGCACGAGGCCGGGCGGGGAGCGCGGGCGGATGGGCAGGTGGGTGGGCACGCGCTGCGCCCCGCCCCACTGACGCGCCGGGCCCGCGCCTCCCGCCTCCGGCGCCCGGACTCGGGTTGGCCGCCAAGGAGTCCCCGCCCCTCCCCCGCGCCTCCCGGCCGGAACCGATCGCGGCTGGTTTGAGCTGGTGCGTCTCCATGACGACGTGCTTGGCGTATAAGTAGCGGCGCGTCGCACCATCGGGCTTTGTCAGTCCCTGCAGCCGCCGCCGCCGGCCGCCCTCAGCCAGCAGCTCGGCGCCACCTCGGGTCGGCGTCTGCGGCGGGCTCGACGAGGCGGCTGACGGGGCGGCGGCGGGCGGACAGCCGGGCGCTCCTCGGGATTCGGCGGCGGCGTCTCCATGGGTCCGGGCAGCCGCGCCACTGTGCTGTGAGGTGAGCGGAGCGCGGGAGGGATGTGCGGCCACGTGTCGCCAGGCCCGGACTGCGGCCGCCGGCGGGGGACACGTGGCCCGGGGCCGATGACCTTGCGAGCCGCCGCCCTGAAGCCAGCTGCTCCCGGCCCTGGGCTGCAAGCCCTCGGATTCCCCATGGGAGCCCGCATCGCGTCAGCCGGGCTCGGCGCTCCTCTTGCCCGGGTGATGATGGAAGGCAAGCCTGCGGCAGGTGCAAGCAGCCGCCCTGCAGTTTCCTGCGCTTTCTTTAGTTTTGCTACGTGTACAGAGCAGAGCCGATGACCCGAAGTGGAAGTTGCTAGACCTAATTTAGTCTGGGAGTCACCGCTAATGAATACCCACCAGCTGTGACTTGGAATTAGAACTCCTTGAATGACTTAGTGGTTTAGGGGAAACCGGGTTCCCGGCTGTCCCGGAAACCCGACTCTGAATCTTCAATAACTGGAAAAAGTGTGGGGAGCAGAGTCTGTCAGGAATGTCTGGGAGAGGACAAAGAATGCAGTGGCTTGTTTTATTCAAACCGAAGATCGGGCAGAATTTGACTGGAATTCTTTTTTTGTTTTGTTTTGTTTTAATTGGCTTGTATCTCTTTCACAGTTACTCTCTTGTGCTAATTGTTTAACACACGATTTAGCTTCTCATACCAAAAAGTAACATTTTTTCCCTCCCAGATTTCATGTATTCAGGCAAAATAGTAAATGGTATCTCAAAGCTTTCCAGGTTTAAGCCAGAAGGTTGCCTGGAAAATACTTAAGACCTAAAATTACAAAATTACTGCCAAAGCCCATTCATCAGTTGTAGATGGTATACGAGTAGGCTGGCGCTCTTCTCTAGTCTTCACTTAGGAGAGATTTAGGCAGCTAACGAAGTGCCAAACGTCTCACTAAGTTAAGACTTAAAGCGTGTTTTACCATGCATGGATTTGGATTTATGGCACGCTCGTCCCCCTGGGCCTCTCATAGTGTCCCATGCTAGAACAAACTGGCTCCTAACCATTGCCCGGCCTCCATGCCTGTGAGCTGCTGGCACTGAAGTGGGTCACACAGTGGGAAGAAAGAAAAGTTTTACCTGGCCACTTGCTGTTGTCCATTTTATAAGACCCAGACAGAAGCTTTTATTAAGCGTGGTGATCTTGCTTATTTTTGTTAGTCATAAAGAAGGCCAAAAATTCCCAGAAGTGCTCATTTGGTAGGCAATACAGGATCTAGAATACTGATTTATGATAACAGTAACTAACAGTATACTGTGTTGATTTGAACGGTTTTTTTTAATGTTAGTACTGCATAAATGTTTCCTTATGGAAAATTTTGATGGGTTGTTCACTAAGTGTGAGTGCTCTAGATACCTGATCTTTTGTATTCACTAAAGATCATCCAATATAATTCTTTTTTTTTTTTTTTTTTTTTGAGAATGGTTTCTCTGTGTAGCCCTGGCTGTCCTGGAACTCACTCTGTAGACCAGGCTGGCCTCAAACTCAGAAATCCGCCTGTCTCTGCCTCCCAAGTGCTGGGATGAAAGGCGTGTGCCACCACCGCCCGGCTCCAACATAATTCTTAAAGTGGGAACCGACGAGGCATTTTCAGGGCTGCATGTAGTTATTATAATGCCATTTGAAGTTTCTGAAGAGCTGGAATGGCTCAGAAATAAAGCAGATAAGAACACATAATACACTAATGCCAGTATTAGTGGACTGTGTGCGGATGCATCTGAGACGCACATTGGAGAGAGGCGGGGATTGGGATGTTCATGTGTGTAGAGCTGTGGCATTCAGGTTTGAACAGTGTGAAATCTGATGTATCTGAGTACTTCAGAGGTTTGGGGTCCACTCTCCTGGGCACTAGGATTCCACTCCACAGTTGATCTTCCTGTACTGGGTACTTTATTTCATCTGCTTACTCTGGTATACTGTTGCAGTGTGTAACCTTTAGTGGTAAGATTCCAAAGGAGGTAGCAACATCTTGTGTTTCTACTCACTAGTGCTTCCACCGCTCCAAGGAGACGGCATTCAGAGTTCTTGGATAAGTTGGCCTTGTGAGGAGCTGGCAATAATTGATTCAATCTCTAGGTTTTCTGCGTAAGTACTGGTTTACTTGTGGATTCGTGTTGAAGCATTGCTGAGACTGAGTGCATTCATACTCACTGGCAGCTTACTCTGTTTCAGAGGCACACTGAGAGCCATGAGCAGCTTTACGAAGGAAGAGTTGGACTGCCATATCCTCGATGAAGGCTTTACTGCTAAGGACATTCTGGACCAAAAAATCAATGAAGTCTCTTCCTCTGTAAGTATGGCCGCAGCTCTGCTGAGAGTTTCTAGCACTATAAGTGAGCATGTCTTGCCAGAGAATCTAGAATTTGATTGACTGTGGACTGTCTAGTGGTTGGTGGTTGGTCGTGCCACATCAGCCACTGCTAACAGGGATAGGATTTGGTTAAGGAAGAGAAGGTTTTTTCGGTGTGGTGTCAGCTGCAGGACTGTTAATAAGTCCCTGAACCTGCTCTCATTCCAGGACGATAAGGATGCTTTCTATGTTGCGGACCTCGGAGACATTCTAAAGAAGCATCTGAGGTGGCTAAAAGCTCTTCCCCGTGTTACTCCCTTTTACGCAGTCAAGTGTAATGACAGCAGAGCCATAGTGAGCACCCTGGCTGCTATCGGGACAGGATTTGACTGTGCAAGCAAGGTAAGAGTGCACACCCGCCTCAAGGAGGCATCACTTGTGTTAGTAAGTGTTAAAAAGCTGAAGTGCACATGACAACTTCATGTGCTTTTGTTTGTCAAGCTCTGTATGTAGCCCAACACTGATGTTCTCTTTTCAGACTGAAATACAGTTGGTGCAGGGGCTTGGGGTGCCTCCAGAGAGGATTATCTATGCAAATCCATGTAAACAAGTGTCGCAAATCAAGTATGCTGCCAGTAATGGAGTCCAGATGATGACTTTTGACAGTGAAATTGAATTGATGAAAGTTGCCAGAGCACATCCAAAGGCAAAGTGAGTCTTGTGATCACAAAGGCCGGGCCTTGTAGGGCAGACTCATCTTGGTCCCTTTATTCCTATACATAGCATAGCTCTATGTATAGGAATAACCCTGGGTTAGACTCAAACTCACAAGCAGCAGCACCTGCATCTAGGATCCTGAGTTGGGTGAGCGTGTATAGAGAGTACTTACTTCATGTTCTTCCTCCTAGGTTGGTTTTACGAATTGCCACTGATGATTCCAAAGCAGTTTGTCGCCTCAGTGTTAAGTTTGGTGCCACACTCAAAACCAGCAGGCTTCTCTTGGAACGGGCAAAAGAACTAAATATTGATGTCATTGGTGTCAGGTGAGATTTATCTCAGTGTTGTCCTTGCAGGCTGAGACATTAAATTTTTAAGACCCTTTTCTCTTTTTGAGAACTAGTCACCAGCATCATTCTGTTTCTTTTTCAGCTTCCATGTGGGCAGTGGATGTACTGACCCTGAGACCTTCGTGCAGGCAGTATCAGATGCCCGCTGTGTATTTGACATGGGAGTAAGTAGATGTGACTCGTGGGGGGCAGGGTGTCTGAAAATAACTACTGAGTCTAGAATTTGCCTCTTGTAGAAGCCTTCTGTATAACAGATTTTAAACCCATCTGTCATTTAAACTCATGAATGTGAATCTGGTGATTTGACTTCTGAATTTTCTTGGTTCTAGACAGAAGTTGGCTTCAGCATGTATCTGCTTGATATTGGTGGTGGCTTTCCTGGATCTGAAGATACAAAGCTTAAATTTGAAGAGGTAATTACAACATTCGTTAGTAACCTACTTAGGGTATTTTATATGTATAGAAAGTTCCATTTTGGTGTTTTTACTGATATTAAAAGGTACCAAACAAATACGTGGCCTGGCATTGTGTTCCCACTGACTTGTGTGTCTATTTCTGAGACTGTAGCCCAGGCTGGCCCTGAACTTTCAGTTCTCCTGCCTCAGCAGCTTGTACTGTCATTCCCATCTCCCATATATTTTTAATGTTTAGTCTCTTAGGAAATGAAGCCATTGTTCAGAGATGGTTACTGTTTATACAATTATGTGAAGTAGGCAGGGTGGGAGTTATACAATTATGTGAAGTAGGCAGGGTGGGAGTTTTATCTTGTTGGCATGTATTTAACAGAATTATTTCAGCATTTGGCCCCTCTTTTGTAATTCATTTTGTGCCACTTGATAAAACTATTCATAATATGTTGGAAAGACAGAGATGGTCCTGAGAGGAGAATGGGAAATGGTGTACAGACTGGTTTCCAGGAAGAGAGATGTTTATGTTGCTTCTGTTGCCCGATGACAGACCTGCTGGGTCATGTCCTGTTCCTTACACACAGCAGTGTGATCTCTCTCCTCTGTGTCAACTGCATAATAAATGGCTGTTCCCTCTCACTCCTAGATCACCAGTGTAATCAACCCAGCTCTGGACAAGTACTTCCCAGCAGACTCTGGAGTGAGAATCATAGCCGAGCCAGGCAGATACTATGTTGCCTCAGCTTTCACACTTGCTGTCAACATCATTGCAAAAAAAACCGTGTGGAAGGAGCAGACCGGCTCTGATGGTATGTGTTGTCAGATGAATCATGTGGGATAACTGAATGTTGATATGCTGGGTGGTAATTAGGGTGATCTGTTTTTCTAGATGAAGATGAGTCAAGTGAGCAAACCTTCATGTATTATGTGAATGATGGAGTATATGGATCATTTAACTGCATTCTTTACGATCATGCACATGTGAAGGCCCTGCTGCAGAAGGTACGTTCTGAGCATGCTCTCTAGCAGTGAGAATGATGGACAGGATTCAGGGATATTCAAGAACAATGTCTTCTTCATACAGAGACCCAAACCAGATGAGAAGTATTACTCATCCAGCATCTGGGGACCAACATGTGATGGCCTTGATCGGATCGTTGAGCGCTGTAACCTGCCTGAAATGCATGTGGGCGATTGGATGCTGTTTGAGAACATGGGTGCATACACCGTTGCTGCTGCTTCTACTTTCAATGGATTCCAGAGGCCAAACATCTACTATGTGATGTCACGGCCAATGTGGTGAGTGACATTTTTGTGCCTGCTTATTCTTTCTTTCAGTTGTTCAATGGAATATTTGCCTACCATGAGCCAGAAGCCTTGGTTCTATTCCAGCCCTGGTGTACACAGGTCAGCCTTGATTATAACTTGCTCAAGCTAGCCTGTCTCAAGAAAAGTACTGAATTTGTGTTTGGTTTTTGTCTGATAATTTTACCTTGAGCTAAATACATAAATGAGAATTCTCTTCAATAATACATATTTTTCTTCAAAAATTCAGATTTTTACTAGGAAAGGTCTTAGGACTAAAAGCAATTTAGAATATTAATGTAACTAAAATCAAGTTAGCATATGACCTGTGATTTCCTTAATAGTGAAATGGTACATTGGATTGTTTCCTGGTGATGTAGTGACAAAGGGTGAGGTCTCAGGAGGTCTTTTGGGAGGCTGCCCGATTTGGAGACACTTGGGTTTTGAATATACCTCTTTGTTTTCAGGCAACTCATGAAGCAGATCCAGAGCCATGGCTTCCCGCCGGAAGTGGAGGAGCAGGATGTTGGCACTCTGCCCATGTCTTGTGCCCAGGAGAGCGGGATGGACAGTCACCCTGCCGCCTGTGCTTCTGCTAGGATCAACGTGTAGATGCCATTCTTGTAGCTCTTACCTGCAAGTTTAGCTTGAATTAAGGCATTGGGGGACCATTTAACTTAATTACTGCTAGTTTGGAATGTCTTTGTAAGAGTAGGGTGGCACCGATGCAGTATATGGAAGGCTAGGAGATGGGGGTCACACTTACTGTGTTCCTATGGAAACTTTGAATATTTGTTTTATATGGATTTTTATTCACTTTTCAGACATGATACTAACGTGTGTCCCTCAGCTGCTGAGCAAGCATTTGTAGCTTGTACATTGGCAGAATGGGCCAAAAGCTTGTGTTGTGACCCATTTTGAAAATAAAATATCTTGAAATAATTGGGAATGTTTGCAAGTATCCCTTGAAGAAGGCACAAAATTCTACACATGCTGCTGTATCACAAGGCTGTGCCCTCTCTGTACTGCAGCAGTCTGCTTAGCCCCTCCCAAGTGTGTGCAGTTGGCTGTGAACTTTGGTGCCCAGAGTCTGTTGGTAAGGAATGTCATCTGCCTAGTGAACTGTTGGCCTGGCCACTTCCTAGAGAGGGCATCTGAGGCTCTTTGAACCTTGCCTGCAGAAGCCCTGACTGTTCCTCAACCTTGACTTCAGCTGCATCACCACATAGTAACAGTTGAAAGTACCATACAGCATTTGGCAGTCAACTTCCTGTAATAAATTCAACAACAGCAACTACTGTGTTGTAAATCTTTACCTTGACCTATAGTCTTGCTCAGTTTACACACCTGTTGCCTCCCCAAAGTATTGAAAACTTGTAGGTCAGGAGGAGGGGCAGTCATCCTGTGATCCCCAGCACTGGGAGACCAGTGTGGGCCACACTAGACTCTACCTCAAGCAAAAGTTAGATGTGGCCTGAATAGAGCTGCTAACCTGTGTCACTGAGAGTGAAGCGCTGTCCATGGCTCTGAAACTTGAGCTACCTGTCCCCCTCCATACAGATGAAGATGGAATCCCTTCTGGAGCTGCTTCCTCTTCAGGGGATCCCTCCCCAGGCACAGGGCTGTGGCTTTATTTGCTAAGATGTGAACTTTGTTGGGAGCCACAGATGGTGGCTGGAGTTGGAAGATCCGCAGTGAAGCCACTGATGGTTAAAGCTTCAGGCTCCCATGCTGTGCCAGAGGCTCCTGTGGAAATGCGATTACACGGGTGGAAGGGCCCCACCTCAGGCCTGGGTTTGTGGTACTTTGGATAACTGGTCTCTCCAGCTCCTCTTGCAGCAATACATTTTTCTATAGATAAGTTTTTGGTTTTTTTTTTTGTTTTCAAAGATTTATTTAATGTATATAAGCACACTGTCCTTAACACCAGAAGAAGGCATCAGATCCCATTGCAGATGGTTGTGAGCCACCATGTGGTTGCTGGGAATTGAACTCATGACCTTTGGAAGAGCAGCCAGTGCTCTTAACCATTGAGCCATCTCTCTAGCCCCCTATAGATAAGTTTTAATGAGAATGTACCATATCATTACTGGAGTACTTGACTGTGAAGGTGATGGACAGATGGGAGAGGACACAAAGGAAAAGGCTTGTTTTCTAAAGACTAAGTTCCAACCTAAACAAACTGAAATGGCTAGAAGCCAGCCTGGAAAGTACAACTTAATTTTTGCTTTTTTGAAGTAGAGACCCACTATGGTGGCCTAGAACTTATTTTGTAGGTCAGGCTGCCCTCAGATCGGTGATGTGTATATGTGTACAGTGTGGGTTTTGCCTGAGGAACCCAGAAGAGGATATCAGATTGTCTGGAAGGGGAGTTCCAGAACCTGAGTCCTAAGCAGCCAGTGCACTTAACCATCGAGCTGTCTCTGCAGCCCCCAAATAGGTTTTGTTTTGTTTAACATTTTTGACCTGAAGAAGTTCTTATCTGGCTAAAGGCTTTGGGTTCCTTGCCATGAAAGGAGTTGAGTTCGGGAAGACAGACATGCTCAGACAGGTCAGGAAGGCAGCTTTGACTTGGTTCTCAGTGGGATCCAATCCTGACCTTGAATTTATCCTTTATCATCCTGCTGCCCTCAGTCTCATGAGTGTTAAGATTGTACCCAGCTTTTCTGAAACTTGTATGGGTGCTTCTACATGTGTGAAGAGACCAGTGACCTCTGATCTTTTCCTTGAACACTTTCCCAGTTTATGTGTGGTGCCAGGGGAGAATGTCAGATGTCCTGTCTGTCATTTGAAATCCCTTGAAAGAAATTGGAACTTGGAGCTAGGCCTGCAGCCCACAAGCCCCAGTGATCTCTCTCCACCTCTGAGACAGGTTCTTACCAGACCTGGAGCTCACAGACTTAGATTTGCCAGCAAGCCCTAGGGGTCCTCGGTTTCCACCTCTCTTGAGTCTGGGATTACAGGCCTCTGCCACCTTGTTTGTATGTAGGTGCTAGGATCAAACTTGGGACCTCATGCTTACAAGGCAAGCGTTTTTCTCACTGGACCATCTCACTAGCCCCTGACACTTGGTCCACTGGTTCATTCCCTGCCCAAACAGCAGCAGGCAGGGGCAGCCAGGAGCACCTGTGGTCCTGGTACTACTGTGGACTGAGTTGGGCCTGGAGCTGGGCAGACCCAGCTGAGACAGCCCTATCCTTGCAAGGCACAAAGTGTCTACCTAACTCATCTACAGTGGGAGTGAGCCAGTGCTACCTCTAGGACTTGCCCATAGGTGGGGCTTGCGGAGCCCAGAGTTAACTGGCATTTCTCCATTTCTACTCTAGTTTCCACCTTGAGCTCCTTGACCTGGCTTCTCTCCATGATGGTTGTTTGGTTTCAGGTCAGGATGAGGGACTGAGGCACACATTTTACATATCAGGACAGACCTGGCCTCCAGGTTCCTACTTGGCATACCCTGTCCCCAACCTTGAACTTCCCAGCCCAGGGGCTGGGTTGCCCTTTTCCTAGAGGCTCTTCCCTATACAATCCAGATACTGTTTCTCTTCCCCCTCCCCTCTTCCAATGGAATTCCCCTGGCCTCAGCCCTTGGGGCCAGCGAACTCTGAGAGCAGCTTCCCAATAAACTTGCCTTTAATATAATCAAATCTGGCCTGAATTAGCACATTTCACCAGCGGAGAAATAACTTGTCGATGGTTTATAAGCCAAACACACCTTTGCCCTCTCAAGTTGCTTTTGGCCAGTGTTCTGTCACAGCTACAGAAAAATTAATAACTAGGATATCCCTAGCCACACACCTAAAACATTGCTGCTGTTGGTGAGAGAAGATTTTTTTTTTTTTTTATGTAGACCAGGCTGGTATCAAACTCAGATCCACCTGCCCTTACCTCCCTAGTGCTGGTATTAAAGGTGTGCACCACCACTGCCCAGCTGACCTAAAGTGTTTCTAAGGTGGAGCCTGCTGGGCCTCCATGCTTGACAATCCATTGGGAGAAGATCTAGGAAGCTGGGCTGAGAGAGTCTGGGCAGGAGTGTGCCTCTATTAGTTAACTGGTATGCTAAACCCTGGGCTGCCTGTGCTGTGGCCTGTTCCCTCCTGTTCCCAACCTGTCTTGGCAGCTGTGCATGTTCACCTCTTGATTTATAGGCAGAGAGACCACATTTAGCAAGTAAATTTTAAGATATTACCTGGAACCTATTAAGAAACATTATTTGTGGTTTATCTCATTTAACTCGGCAGCTTGACAGGGCTTCTGAGTCTTAAGCACCAGGATCCTGGCCTTGGCTTCTGAATTCCATGTTGCCTTCTCCAAGCCAGGTGCTTCTGTGGGCCTCAGCATCCTTATGAGTCAACAGGCACAGGAGACAGCCAGGCTCTTAAGACTAGGTCCTGGGAGACTCAATTTATTAGCTGTGCAGTCTGGGACAATCCTGATCATGACCACCAGGGGGCAGCAGCACCTAGTGTTTAAGGTGTAGCCAGTTGGCTAGGGGCCAAGCTCCACTCTGAAAGAAGACTCCAAGCTGACTTGGTCATTTTTCCAGATTCCCCTCAACCCTCATCCCTTCCAGGGATCTCCAGTGGGTCATCTTCGGCCTCTGTTTCACTGTCTCTTTGTCCCTTCAGTGAGAAAAGCCTGTCTTCCTGAAGTATCCCAGGCCTTCCTCTGTGCCCACACCATATTTGTGAATGCAGATCTGGCCCACCTGTCCCCATGTGCTCTGAGAATTTGTGTGTCTCAGTGTAGTTTCTGTTAATTGGCTCTGAGCCAGAAGCAGAGCCCACTTAGGCTTTTCTTTGTATGGTCCGGCCCGTACCACTCACCCACACTCATTCCCGATACCCGACCCTCTCCTTAAAACCACGTCTCTGCAGAAGTCAGGGTCTTCTGGAGATGAGTCTGGCAACCATTTGCCTTCCCTCAGCTCTGCTCCTGGAAGGTTGTGGTCCAAGTCCTGTCTCTGGGAACCTCATCTGGCCCAGGACATCACAGTGGGCTGTTCAGCACTTCAGCTTTCTGGACAAACAGCTCCCATGGAGGACAGAAGCCTGGCCTGAGCCATGTGACTCATTCATGGTACATCAAACTTGCACCTGAGTCTCACAGAAAACTGAAGCTCTTGTTTGTACTCTGGTGCTTTTGAGTCAGGACACAAGAAGCCTTGCTTGAGAAGGTGAACTTCAGGATGTCACGCAACCACTAGAACTGTATCCCTCCCCGGGTGCCTGCACAGGACAGCAGAGGTTCTGGGATCCCAGAGGCAAGAGAACTGGACCAAGGGGCTTTTAGGAGGCTCCTCTTCCCTCCCTCCCTTCCCTCTCTTCTTCTTCCTCTTCTTCCTCCTCCACAAGAGTCGACTTCCAGAAGGAGAAAGATCCTGTCAGGGACCCCTGCTGTAGAGGTGAGAATTCAGGGTTCATTCTGGGGTCCTTTCCTCTACTATGAGCTGGGCTTCTTGGCATGTGGCCATCATCTGTGGGGCTACTTCCTCTTTCTCCTAGGCAGCAGTAGACTGGATCCCTGAGGAGCCACACAGATTTAATGAGTTCCCAACAGGGCGGGGTCTACAAGGACCCTCAGATCCACATCTTAATTTATACAGAAGGAGCTGTAACCCGTGTTTTCCTTCTTACTCTTTTTAGATTGCTTTTTGTTGTTGTTTTTTGAGACAGGGTTTTTCTGTATAGCTCTGACTATCCTAGAATTCACTCTGTAGACCAGGCTAGCCTCCAACTCAGAGATCTGCCTGCCTTGGCCTCCTGAGTGCTGGGATTAAAGGTGTGTGCTGCCACCACCTGGCTCCAGATTGATTTTATTCATGGAGTAACTAAGTACATAAGTAGTCCCTGCCAGCCTGGTATTTATATGGCCAGCCTGAGCCTCAAACTTCTGACCATCCTCCTGCCTCAGGTTCCTGAATACTAGAACAAGACAAATCACTACACTGGTGTAAGTGGTGTGTGTGTGTGTGTGTGTGTGTGTGTGTGTGTGTGTGTGTGGAATTTGCCGATTATCTTGAGATGGACATTAGCTTCCTCTTGCCTTCAGGCTTGTTTGTACTGGAATCACTGTTGGCTCTGGGTCTCTGAATTACAGGGCTGAAGACCTTAGGGTCCTCTAATCTGCACCTTTACTGGTTCTATTCCACACAACCAGTTAGCGAATCAACAGATCAACGCTTCCAGTCATCTCTCCCGTCCTCCAGTCACTTTCTCCTCTGTCATGCACATTGTGCTGGTTAGTTTTCTGCCAACTTGACACAGTGGCCATTGGGCAGAGGGAACCTCAACA